GAGTATGGGTCACCATACTTGGCCACATGTCACGTCACTTTTCACTTTTTCACTTTTCACTTTTCAATATTACAGCGAGAATAAAAGTTACTCCTTCTTTCTTTGCGTTAACATTTGGGCGGCGTTATGCAAATTTTCCCACATCGTGACGTAGACATGTTGGGCGCGTGTTAGAACGAGCCTTTTTAGGTAGGCGTGGTTGACTCTTAACTTTTATAAAGAATATCTCTTTGGATTTGAGACTTTAGTCTTTGCAACTTTACAGATCTTCTTTATGCACCAAGAGCTTGTAACACTCCAAAGAGAAAGGAAAAATTTAAATCGCATCATATGATGCCTTTAATTAAAAAATATTTTATCATTTTTATGTTGATAATGATGAAAAGATGAAATATTAAAATGTTTTAAAATGTTATTTTAAAAGCTGAATTTTCAGCAGACATTTCTCCAGTCTTTGCATGATCCTTCAGAAATCATTACATTACACCAATATAATAAATAGAAATATATTAAAAGAGAAAACTATTTTTTAATTTTTATATTTCACAAAATCACTTTAAAAATTATATATAGGCTATATATCTCAAACAGGAATGTTTCCATTTGTATCACTCCGCTTGCAGTATTGCTCACAGCGAGTGTCATAGCAGACTCCCAAATCCACTATAACTTTTAAAATACAGTTTTAAAAACTGTTTTTGTGTCACAGAATATAGTTTTAAGAGGTTTTTTTTAGGTGAGAATGTAGTTGTTTAGACTTCAAACATGTGGTTTGTTAATAACAATAACTCCTATTTGAAAATTTGCTTCAACTTTTTTGGAGATGTGAGCTCCAGGACGTCAGCGGCCGTTCATCACTCATTAACCCGCCAAGAGCAGCCTTACCTCGGCCAGATCTTCTGGAATTTGCCGCTGGCTCTGTGGCTTTGTACCTATGACTAAATCACAGCCATGCTGATATAGAGCAATATCAAACGGCTTCTCGTCTTCACTTGTTTACAAGAGACTTGGTAATACATTTTTTTCATATAAAATTACTTTTAACTATTAAGGTGCATCATCCACTGGGATGTATGAATATATCAAGCGTCAAACATACCAAAAAGAAATAAACTATTTCCACAACCTTTGGATGCACCAGCTATTAAGCTATTACCCTCATATCACTTCAACCTCACATATCCACAGCAGCACCCAGTGCATTCATTTGACTAGATTTATGGGAGTGATTTAGCATGGCTAATTTTATTGTGTCTTTGCCTGCTGTAGAGAACAAATGTGCATTGTCTAAATTGTGTTTTCACTAGTTTAGTCGATTACTCGTACACATCTCTAATTTGAATCATGACCATAATGGCCTTAAGTTACAAAATGCATTTCTGAGATGCCGCAGTAACAGTTTGCAGAAGTGCCTTTCAGGGGCCGTTCAATCCTAATAAATCCCATAACAAACAACAAGCGTGCCCACAAACACATACAGATGCACAGTAAACGTTATGACCATCTCGCTCAACGCTACAACATCTGCTCGATTACAAGGCACAGAAGACCGGCTAAAATAATCCAATCACAACCATTTTAAAGTTGTTTGTCCCCATCCAGCACAGCAAGAATAAGGAAGGAACACAATCAGAAGAAGCCAAAAATTTTTATTGGCTTAACAAAACACCCACAACAATAGTCAAATAGTGAGTTATACTTCTCGGAATGCTGATACCTATAGGACAAAAGCTTGGGATTATTGAAGCCTGAAGTTATTTCCATAAACAAATTAGCTGACATGCCTTTCAGCCGAGAAGAAGCAGTCTCCGAACTGATCCGGTGACAGCTGCTAAAGCCCCCAGGAGCAGATCTAATTGTCGAGAAGTCATTCCACTCTGAAGGACAGACGCCAAGAACGTTGGAAGCATTTAAAAGCTATTAATACTCCTCTCGAAAACGGATAACAACATGACCACTCAAGAACATCAAGAAAGAGGCCCTTGGTAGTTGTTGTTCAACAAACAATTGGGTGAAAAACCATATGGAGATGATAAAGAAGCTGGACTATGATTGTAAATCATCCAGATGGCGACCCACTGCCCTACCAACAACCCAATAACACCGAAAAGGTCAGTCGTGCTGTAATATAGGCCTTTCAACAAGGCAAAACCTTGCTGGAAATGGAAAATTATTTCAACCGCAAAAAGCTTTTTCGAGGCCAATATAATAACAGTTTAGTGATGTCAAATTAGACAGGAATTTTTTCCAGACTTCAACCGCAATCACCTCCAAAATGACTCTGACCTCTCGGCCTCCCCAACGCTGAACTTTTTTTTGACTTTCTGACTCCTTCCAGCAGTCAAACAGGATTTTGTGCATCTCTGAGGTGATGTAGCATGACATGAAATTGTGATAAAGTGCCAAAACTCTGAATAATTCAAGATAAAATCTTACGCCATGAGTATAAAGACAATCATATGGAGATCTAAAGGTGGGATGTCATCAGATGGGTAGACAGATGCTACCAAAACGAGGGCAACAATAAACCAAAACAAACAACCATTTGCAATAGGCAACAGATTTCATCTTTCTAATTCAGTTGACTTCATGGTTTGAACTTGGTGGAGGACACAAAAAGCCACTGACCAGTTGCATGGTAACTCTTTTAATCACATATCAATCTTCTTGTTTGCACTGGTATGAGTAAGTGCTGGTCATATATGCATGATGGTTTGAGTTCTGGCACTGAATACTTCAAGATAACAGAAAAATGTAAAGAAACATTTTACACCATATATATATAAGACAACAGAGGTGGGCCGTCATCAGATGGATATGCGAAACCCAGTTTTGTGTAGCAAGGCCTTCAGACTGACAGCAGAAGTTCTGGACTCCATCGCAGCTTTCATTGGCCAAAGACTGGCCAAGAGGCCGTCTGACAGACATGCAAAGCAACCAATCACAGTTTGTTTTGTTCAGTGTCTTGTTAAGGGGCATGAAAAAAAAAAGTCGATGTCTGTATAATAACAGACCGGCATGCAAACAATAAATCATTCATTCAAGAACGTCGTGCAAGATTCCTGCAACAATAGCACATGCCTATGCAACAGCCTATGTTTTCACATACTTTTGAAAATCAAGCATTTAGTTGATCTTGATACGCAGTCAATGTCACAGTTGTAGACTCAACAGCTTTCTTCTTACAAGTGGTGGTTTGGCTTCATGACGGCTTTGTTTCCAGGAAGACGGTTAAAGAAAATGATACACACATAAGTCTCCAAGACATCCTGTAGAATTCAAGCAGATGATGACTTCTAAACTCCCGAAGTGTTTCCCATTTTTGTGCCTTATGTATCAGACGCTCAGACAACCGTCTGTGGTGTCTAAGTCTGAGACTAAGCGGAACCAGACGCTTCAAAGACGAGGACAACAATAAACCAAAACAAACAACCATTTGCAATA